GACTGTCCTGTTGATGCCGTCAGACAATCATTTCCACAGCATAATCAAATCAAGTTAAATTTATTCTTCCTCACCGAGGCCCTTTGACGTGCATTCAGTATTCCAGTCAAGAGCATACAGTGTAGTGATGAATTGGCAAAAGGCTCCCCGCAGCACATCATTACCACTGGACGCACCATTAGGGAGATCGCTCATTTTCAACATTTTGGAAGGTAGGAAGCGACCGAAGATGCATGATGCCTATTATGCAGCTGTTATGAAGTAGAGCTGATATGAGGTTGTGCTGTTTATTGTGTTGAACTCTCACTAAACCGATTGCAGAGTTGCGGTCATGTAGTTTTGCTCTAGGTGGTGCGGGTTTAGCTACACGGTCCAAAAGACAGCCTAAAATGATTTTAGGACTCTGCCAGGGATAAAGGGAGGGAGTATGTTCTGTTTGTTTGTCTGTTTGTTAGCAGTCCAGCATCCACGGCTCCAGCTGACTTAAGTGTGGTCAAGGTCGCAACAAATGTGAAAATCAGTAAAAACTTTATGTTACTCACAATTTTTTACTGATTGTCTTTGAACATCACAACAATATTATAGGCCTCGGGGACGTCAGTACATAAGTTGGCTAAGCGTTTGACTTTGACTGTGGTTTTTGACTTTCAAGGTCAAAGTAGACCTTTAAAAAAAATTCAAGAAACCATATTGAGTAATATGTCATATGAAAGGGCATGGAGAGGGCTGTACGATACACTTTTTAGTTTTTCAGTTTGACGCCATATAATGTTATAATCGCGCCATAACAGGCTGACGTCAGCATGAATAAAAATATCATTGGGGGGAATTGTGCTATCTGAGTGAGAATTAACCCCCTTAATGCCCAGTGTGTCATATTTGATACATGAGTTTTTGTTCTGTTTTTAAGCAATAATTTTTTTTTTAAAAAAAGGTCAAAAGTAGCGAATATGATACAATTAAAACTCATATATGTAAATTAATATTAATACATTTTTATTTTATTTTTTTTAAGGTTCAATAACTCCTCCCATAGTCAACAAATTTGAATTTTATGGCAATTATTTAATTGTTCTGGCTTTAACGGGTTAAGAGCTCCCATAAATGTTGCATTTGACTGTCATATTTTTGTAAAACACTGTGTGTCATATCCATGATCATGCAGCAGTGTCTGAACTTTGTAGAGGACACAAAGTTTGTAAGTTCAGTGATTCAAGAGAACAAAATGATCTTGGTAAGCAAATTGGTTTTGAAGCACAGAGTGGGTGAGAGTGGGGCCGAAAACTGTACGCCAACACTTTGCTTCAGTTCTCGCATTAGTGAAGAAGTATGGAGGCTATCAGGTTTTGACAAGAGAAATAGAAAAGTTAAGTGTTGCGGTGTGTGTCTTTGCACGCTAGGGCAAACACACATGCCGCTGCAGCTCATGCGGTGGAGAAGAGGTCATCTTGGATTGGATATCACGTCTGCCCTCATATGCCCTCTGTTTCACTGCCGCCTGTCACACTTGATCGCCACATTTCTAACTCGGATTGATTACTTTCAAGTTCAGTTTAAGTTTGAAAGCAGCTATTTTTATCCGGAAAATGATGACAAGACTGGTATGATCTGGAGTCAGTTTTGCTGCAAAAGATAATATACTTTATCCACATGATGCTTAGGGAGAAAAAAAAAGCCACAACCTGGCAACCCCTGAAGGCTGTGACAAAAAGCACTTTATGTGGACATTTTATCAAAATAATTTGATCAAATCAGGTGTAAAAGTAGGCATCAGTGAAGCAGGATGTGCATTTATCAAAATAATTTGATCAAATCAGGTGTAAAAGTAGGCATCAGTGAAGCAGGATGTGCATGGGAGTGGAAATAGTGTGAAAGTGCTACAAGGTGCTGGAAAACAGCATGAAAGAACTGAAAAGAAAGTAAGTACACACAGAAACTCAGACGCCAGGCAGGAGAGAAAAAATCAAGTGGCATGCCAGCACCGGTTTCATAGTCTGGAAACACCAGGCCCAGATGTTCCCATTTGGCATTGATGATTTCCTGCCCACCAGGCACCCAAAGCACATGCAGAGGAAGAGGAAGTTGAGAAAAATTCAGTAATAAGCAAGGACAAATATGTTAAAATGTGTCAAATAATGAATGAGTGTACAGGTCTGCAGCATCGGTGTGTTTGGACATCAGTCTGTCATGTATGTGTCCGTCTTTAGGGGAAGATCGCTCCAGAGAGAATGTGGTGGGCACCACAGACGCGCAGTCGGCCGGTGCTGCAGGAGCAGAGTCCGGCTCCAGCAGACGGCGGCTTCACTGCTGCATCCGAGTGACAGCTGTACAAGTGCGGAAGGCTCTATGGGGAGTCGCCATGGTGATGTGCGTGTGTTCCTCCTGGGCAGGCTCCACCCAGCTGGCCAAGCTGACCTTTAAGCAGTTTGATGCTCCCTTCACCCTCACCTGGTTCGCCACCACGTGGAACTGCCTCTTCTTCCC